ATCCCTATGTCTCTTGCATGCCACAAGGTACTCCTAGAAGGACATGTGGATTGGTATTCACAGCCGGATTGCATTCCTCTCAACTGAGTTGCATTCCTCTCAGCTGAGTCGCTTCTCTTGTCAGGTACGCTAGTTTGACTGTTGGCAACATCCCTATTTCTTTTGCATGCCACAAGGTACTCCTAGAAGGGTGTGTGTGGATTGGTATTCACAGCCGGATTGCATTCCTCTCGACTGAGTCGCATACCTCTCAGCTGAGTCGCTTATCTTGTCGGGTACGCTAGTCTGACTGTTGGCCACATCTCTATGTGTCTTGCATGCCACAAGGTACTCCTAGGAGGCGTGTGGATTGGTATTTATGGCCAGATTGTATTCCTCTCAATTGAGTCGCATACCTCTCAGCTGAGTTACTTCTCTTGTCAGGTACGCTAGTCTGACTGTTGGCAACACTCCTACGTCTCTTGCAAGTCACAAGGCACTCCTTTGTCCTGTGAATTCTGTCTTTTGAGTTTCTATAAAGGTGTTGTAAACTAGACTAGCTTTCAAGCTACCCCAGCGGCATTCCTCCCAGCATGCTTTTTATCTCCATGGTCGTTACTACGCTTTCGCTCGCGCTGACTGCGCGAGCACAAGCCATTCAATCCAGCTGCTTGACTTGTCCAGGCCCAGTCGTATTGACTACGGCCCCCGTCCCAGGTGCTTCAGTCTGTTGCTAGTGAGTACATCTTGCAGCTGCGGCTCTGAGTTTTATGCTAATATTTGCATCGATATAGCTATGGGCCCGGCGAAGTATGCTGCTATGCGGTTAGTCTGCCGGCTATATTTCCTCGATTTAAAGTCTTCACGTTCTCACCAAGCATCGATGCTGATATACTGTCACAGGGATCGACTGGACAGCTGATGTTCCAATCGGGGGTCGTATGCCCAGGCAGTACTACAGTGTCCATCAACACCTGCTTTCCCTCGCTCTTTTGAAGTAGGGATTTTGAAGAAATATGTACATTTACAAGGCAATTGAGACTTGAGTTTGATATTTAATGAGATTAGGCTGTCAAGTGACCTTGCGCCGAGTTTTTATCAAGCTCCAGACAATCGGACACGGTCAGTTGTTATTCATGTATCACGGGTGCATTTGGTGTCGTGTTTCTCGTCAAAGAAAGAACTACAGGATACGCGATGGACAATCCACATGTCGCCTGTCCCTTGGTCATGATTTTTTCAACTCGTGAAGAGCCGGAATCTTTAGTTCCGAGGAATTTCATAATTTTGGGGCCAATTTCGCAACGAAAATCGACCAGAAACTGAGCGTATGGACGGCTACGAGATACTAGGAGATATTGGGACTTTGATGGACAACTGTTCCCTTTTCGAGTAGTCAGCTGCCGAGTGCGTAGCTTTCCCACATCTTCCACCAATGTCGTCCGGTGGTTCGGCTCACCGTGCCCCGCGCCTGGCCCGCCCTCTTGGCGCTGTCTCGCCGTCGTGCGTCCTTGACATACGGCAGAGTATATACGATTTTAGTGGGACCCACCCAGTCCCACTAATCGCGAAGCAGCCTGAGCGAGTGGGACCTGTCTCGCTTGATCGCATCACGTCTGTGAGCTGCGGGTCATTTTGCCAAAGGGTCGCCTCAGATAAAGTGTAGTGCTGGGTTTCCTTCCAGACACTTGGTCTGTAATCACGGTGTATGTGCCTGTCACAACCTCCCCGACAATTCCAATCTGACTTGTCCTTCCAGAGTCCAGAAGCAAATTTGATGACCCCATCCCGAAGTCAAATCGGTATGATCATTCCTTTGTATCCAGTCGCCCTTTCTGAGACAGTGTTGATCAAGATTCAACCTCGAAAACGAACCTGGGGCCATCTACGGTGCAAATATGCTGTGTTTCATTTTCAATTCTCTCATTAATTTTGTCTCACACCACCTAAATCTCTCCTTGGGTTAGCTTCACCTCAAGGTACTCACCTAGATGTAGATTTTTCCGTGGAGTCATTTAATCGGAACTGATAGGTCGTCACAAAGCCCAACGTTAACGCCTCCCTCGGCTTGAATATTTCGAGGCACCGATCTTCAGCACACTATCTCTGGTTCAACTCCACTGCGGAGTGTCTAGATTCTCACTATCTTTCATGTGTTATTACATTGCTCAGTTGAAGTACACAAGTTCATGGTCAGTTCACGTTCTACACTTATTTTTGACTTGAAGATTCAACCCGCTGCTGAGCACCGACGTTCAAATACTGGCCCAATTACAACTATGAGTTCTCTATGTGTCGAGGATCTTCCTCCCCTCTCGGGTTCCGGGGAGTTGAATACTTCCTAAAATGGATCGATGTCGCGACTCTCGCGTCCATATCGAAATCGAATTTCCACCTCTGCTTAACATGCTCACGTCGGCGAGTCGCTTGGCACTAGCAGTTGGTTGAAATTTAATAGACCTACCTGTTTGGTCCACTGTGAAGCTCAGTCCTCAGGATGCAAATCAAATGAACCCACCAGAGACGGGCCACGGTTCAGCAACACTTGAAAGTTGAAACCATTTGCGGCATCTGGGGATCAGCGGGATATTCAAGGTCGGAACAGATATTGATCGCGTATCAATCCCACTACTGATCAATGTGCAGCAGCATTCGCCCTATAGGTCTATAGTGAGGTTCGGCCAACCTTAAAGGCCTAAAATAGGGCGCGATTTTAAGGCCTTGAATAAAATTTCTCACGGTTTCGGCAAAACTACAGCACGACTGCTCCACTGCTGCGGGATGTTGAGAAATTGCGGCACGGATTTGCGATGCATTCACCCCTCTCATACATGCATTGCTAATGGTTCTTCCTCACGATTTAAAGCAGAAAATACAACGTATGCTCTTGGTACACTCACGGTCATTTCGCCAACAGTTTCACACACAAATGCCATTACTTTTGGAGGCTCGATAAGCTGAATGGATTTCCGGCAGCAAATCTTGAGGCCCAGGAGGCGCCAAAAACAATTAAAATGAAAATTATACGCCTGCTCACGTGTTAATTATAGGCCTTTACAGCTATTTGCGGTACATAAGGCGCGAACGAAATTTTTTGCCTTTTTGGGCACTTTTCGATCTTTTTGCTCAGAACACTTGCCCCGCCCTCAGTTTCTGTCCGTTTTCCTTGGGAGTTGGCTCATTCGATTCGCATTCAAAATTTACAAGGGATGGCATCTTCAGATTTTTAATCTGGCATTGAAAACTGCTGTTTGAGCGATGGAATGAGGTTTATCCCATGATTTTTCACTAGGACAGCTGCCCTGCACTCAATTGTCCACCTTTTTCTTTGGTCATAGGCTCAATCTGTTTGCCCCCAAAATGCGCAGCGGACTGCCTTCCCAGATTTGAGATATCGGACCCAGAGCGCATTCCTGAAAAATGAAATCAGTCTGACAAAACAACATGTGACCATTCATTGGAAGAACAGCTCGTGTGTGCCCCAATCTTGTTCAATTAATCTCTCTACAGGCTCATTCTCTTCTACCAAGGGATGCACAGGGGACGGTATCCTTAGATTGCTCAACCTGCCCCTAAAGGGCACTCATGATGCAGGACTTCATTTGTAACTGGGTTTTTATGCAGAACAGCAGTGAGGATCTGTTGGGATGCCCAAAAATCAATATTTATTCATAAACTGCACTTTAAGCTGTTACATACTGCACTTGTATACTTACATTGGTATAATACACCCTATTGCACATCCACTGTGTGTTCTGACCTGGAAAGGGTGGAAAAGGAGAAATTGTATTAAATCTGTAAATAGGAGTTCTGAGGAGACCATCCCCTGCGGCTTCAAAGCGCGAATTGAATGAGTCTATTTACAGAGGAAACGATACAGGTTTGAGATCGCAGCAGCTGTTCTATTGACCGCCGATCGAAAGTGATGACCTACCATCAATTTTCCGTGCCAAGAAGCCGTATTTAAGGGACAGAACGAGGATGTAAGGCGGCGGTCCGCTATGTATTCTGAAGGCGAACAGATTAAGCCTATGACCAAAGAAAAAGGTGGACAATTGAGTGCAGGGCGGCTGTCCTAGTGAAAAATCCTCAGAAAACATGGGACAAACCTCATTCCATCGCTCAAACAGCAGTTTTCAATGCCAGATTAGAAATCTGAGGAGGCCATCCCTTGTAAATTTTGAATGCGAATCGAATGAGCCAACTCCCAAGGAAAACGGACAGAAACTGAGGGCGGGGCAAGTGTTCTGAGCAAAAAGATCGAAAAGTGCCCAAAAAGGCAAAAAATTTCGTTCGCGCCTTATGTACCGCAAATAGCTGTAAATGGGCTTGCACCTTCGCCGAAAATTTTATAGGCCTCATTATAGGCCTATAGATTATAGGCCTTAGTCCTTTGGGCGAACACTGCCGCAAAAACATCTAGTCCCACTTATTTGGATGAATCCCACTAATATGAGCACCTGAGTCGGACTGGACGAGTCCCACTCCCACTAAAACCGTCGTCACTCCATACGGCACTTCAATCCTATCTACCGTTTCTTTGCACCTGCTCCGTGTATTCCGGTAAAATTATGCAGGAGTCGCTCGTTCGAATCGAGCTTAGGTTGCATTTGACGTCGGGAATAGTTTTTACTCTGGCTTTTTGAAACATATGAACACTACAGATCCCTGCCACGTTCGTCGCCAAGGAAATATAGTACGACCTAGTGGCGGATGGTCCGCACCTGCAATCAATATCTCTGGCAAGTTTCCGATGCAGGCATTGCTCGTTCGAATCGCGCCGGGGTCAAGGGGGTGAACTGAGGTTTTTATTTGAGCTTACTGAAAAAAATGAACACTGCATATCTCTGCCACGTTTGTCGCTAGAAGTACGACCCAGTGGCGGATGGTCTCTCCGTGTATTCCGATAAAATTATGCAGGAGTTGCTCGTTGAATTCGAGTCTGGGTCATTACTTAAACTCATCTATCATGCTTTTTCTCTAGTAAAAGAAATGAACACCACCCTCGTCCAGGAAAGTAAGACCCAGTGGCGGATGGTCCGTACCTGCTCAGTATGTGCAACCATCGGGATACATTATGCAGGTGTTGCTCGTTCGAATCGAGCCTGGGTCATTAAGCTCATCTATTATCCATTTTCTCGAGTCGAAAAATGAACACCATCCTCACCACGTTTCCAGCCGGGGAAGTAAGACCCAGTGGCGGATGGTCCGTGCCTGTTCACTATGAGTTTCTGAACAGTGGCATTATGCAGGTGTTGCTCGTTCGAATCGAGCCTGGGTCATTGAGTTTATCTAGATCTTTTTTCTCTAGTGGAAGAAATGAACACCATCTCACCACGTTTCCAGCCGTGAAAGTAAGACCCAGTGACGGATGGTCCGCATCTACTCCATGTTACGTGAATTATCATTATGTAGGGGTTGCTCGTTCGAATCGGGCCTGGGTGATGGAGCATCACCCGTATCCTTTTTTTTTGTCCTCTGGCTGAGAGAATAGGGCAGGAGAAGCATTGAGCGCGCCGTGCTCAAAAGGAAAAGACTTTCATTTGTAAACTGGAAGGCAAATGGGCCCCAGCGCACTCGGGATTAATCATGATGATTAAATTTAAACACCTCTGTGCTCGGGCACGTACCATCGGAAGTGAGGTTAAAATTAAACACCTCTCGCACCACCTGAATTGTCTCGAAAACGATGATCCTGACGCAAGAGGATATTTCGAGAGGGCGGGTGTATCGAGCCGCTCGGTTGAACCCACCATCCGAGCTCTGCTGATCGGATAAAACTTGAACACTGCTGTGCTCCTTCGAGCGCCGCCCGTGGAGCGTGTCTTTGCAGTGCTTGCCAAGTCTCAGTGCCCGCAGTAACGCGGTGCTGAACTTGTGGATCCAATCTTGGTGTGATTGTTCGGCGGGCACCGCCTTATTCTGCGGCACCGCAATGACGTGATCGGTAGGCTGTGTCTGCCGGCCCTTAATTGACAACTCACACATCTCCTTCCCATCCTCCTCCCATCCCTCCAACTCTACTCTCTATTCGAACGATACGATGTCCTACGGTGGTGTACGTGCCACGTGCCCCGAAGAAGCCGTGAAATCTGACCTTGAATCGCACACCAGCACCAGCAACAGCACTACGGCGCCCCGCCAGGTGGGCCGCCAGGGTACGGCGGGGGCGGGGGCGGGGGCGGGTACGGTCCGCCCGCGGGTGGGCCGCCTGGACATGGTGCGTTTGGTCTCCCTCTTCCCTCTTTCTGGCCCGCTTTTATCATGACGCGATTAATGCTGATGGCGATTGATCGATAGGCGGGTATGGCGGCGCCCCGCCCCCGGGAGGCGGTTACGGCGGCGGTGGAGGCTACGGAGGCCCGCCGGGCGGAGGGTATGGCGCGGGCGGGCATGCGGGCGGGTTTGCGCCGCCTGGGGGCGGGGGGCCGCCGCCGGGAGCGGATCCTCAGTGCGTCTTTGTTTCTTCCCTTGTCTTTCTCGTTTGTCTTGGTTCCCTCTGGTTCTTGGTCCTTGTGTCGTTCTCTATTCTTCCCCCTTTGGTCTCGTGCGCAGAATACTGATTGCATTGTAGGCTATGGAGCTGGTTCAGCTCGGTCGACGCAGACAGATCCGGCGCGATCACCGCGCCTGAGCTCGGTGCGCCCCCTCATTCCTCTGTGTTATACTTCATACTGATCGAATATTTCACCCGCAGAGCGTGCGCTGATCAACGGCGACTGGACCCCCTTCGACCTCGACACCGTCAAACTCCTCATGACCATCTTCGACACCGACCGCTCCGGTGCGTTGCGTATCCCTCTCTTAATTACTAACACCAACGCTACCACCAGGCACCATCGGCTTCGCCGAATTCGCCGGCCTCTGGAAATACATCAAGGACTGGCAGAACGTCTTCAAGCACTTTGACCGCGACCGCAGCGGCAGCATCGACGGCAAGGAGCTGCACGATGCGCTCGCGCAGTTCGGGTACAACCTCAGCCCGCATCTGTTGGTGCTCGTGCAGAAGAAGTATGGTAAGTCGCGTGCCATGCTTCGTGTTCTCATATGCTTCTCCTTTCCCCGCCCGTTCCGCCCTACCTTACACTGCGCTTCCCGCCCCCTTTCCTTCTTTTCCCCCCTCCCCCTTGGAAACCAAGCAAAACCTGACTAACGCAGACGTGAAAGCCGGCACAACCCCCGCCGGGCACGGCGCCGCGCCCCCCGGGATCAGCTTCGACCGCTTCGTGCGCGCGTGTGTCGTCGTGAAGCAGTTGAGCGAGGTGCGTTGTGTGTTTTTTCTTATATTTCTTTGTGGAGAGGGGAGAGACGTTCCGACGAATCCAACTCGAATGGAGCTGGGCGGCTGTTAGGATGGGATGTCGTGGCGTGTCGTGTCGTGTCGTGTCGTGGCGCACGTCGTGGACGTTGATGATAGGGCGGCTTCGAGACGTGTTGTCATGCGCATATGAGGTGGCGTGCTAAAGTTACATGTTACATGATGGTCGTGGGTGTTGGTTGGTTCGAGTTGGTGGGGTGTCCGTCGTGTGTCGGGAGGCGCGTCGAATCGTTTAAAATCCCGGCGACCGGCGCCTCTCGCGCTTCCCTCCCTCCTCTCTCCGTTCTTTCGTCCTACCCGCGATGGCTGACGCATCCCCGCAGTCCTTCGGCCGTCTCGACACGGACCGCGACGGGTGGATCCAGATCAACTACGACCAGTTTATGGAGACGGTGCTCGGCTTGCCTTGAGCGGCGCTCGTTCGTGTGTCCAACGCAAAACAACGTGTATTGTGTATTGTACCACTCGGAGTGTTTCTTTTCGTTTCCCTGTTCCACCTGAATTATGTGTGTGTGCCTGTGCCTGTGATACGATAAGATACAATAGTGTTTGTAAATCCAGAAGAGCCAGAATTTAAATAAAATCGATGTCGTTGTTGTAGTTCCGGCTCGTCTTGGCCCCGGAGCTGCGATGTGTTGGGAGTCGCAAAAAGGCTTGAACGAAGGATGAATGGCCCAGGCCCGCGTCGAACGAGCTACCGCCGCGTAATTTGACTAGGAAGCCATTACGCAACTATTGGAAGCGGGTGCGCACCGTGCACCTCTGGGTCGCTTGTTGAAGTGGGACTTGGTGATAAGTATGCGAGACTGAACGCCCGGGATAAAAATAAAAAAAGGAATGCCCTGCGTATGACCCCGGCTCGGGTCGAACGAGCTATCGCCTGCGTAATTTGATGAATGATCAACAACTCCACTACTTGGGAAGCAGGTACGCACCATGCGAGTCTGGGCCGTTTTGTGGTTGAATTGGACTTGGTGAAATACGAGACTCTACAGAGTTGGAAAAAATATGGTATGGCGCGTGCAAAAGAAGCTGAACTCAAAAATGGCCCACACTCGAATCGAATGAACTACTTAATGCTGCTATGTACTATCACTCAATGATTTGCAGATTCACTCACTCCAGAAAATGTGATGTCTTGGTGCTCCTGAAGATGCTCCTGATACCATTAGTATCCAAACAAAAATAAGAGTGCTTGAAATTGTACCTGATATCCAACAAATATGTCGCACTGGAATTGCAACCTGTATGGGAAGTACGAGAAGCAATTCCAGGCCATCTGATATTCCCTGTTTCAGCCGCACTTTAGCTATGACTAATATTGCGACTGATAATCAACGTAACAGTGCTGATTTACGTGCATCCGAAATGCCGTACAGCCCATATCGGCGGCAGTATCAGCCGCAGACCTGATACGGAAAGAATCAGGCAATAGTATCAGTCGCAATATTGGTCACGCCTAAATTGTGGCTGAAACGGAGAATATTGGATGGCCTGGAATTATTTCTTGTACTTCCCATACAGGTTGCAGTTCCAGTGTGTCATATTTGTTGGATATCAGGTACAAGTTCAAGCACTCTTATTTTTGTTCATATACTAATGGTATCAGGAGCATCTTCAGGAGCACCAAAGACATCACATTTTCCAGAGTGACTGCAGGTGCACACCATGCACGGCTGGGCCGTAGGTTGGATGTAGTCTGTAGTTAAGCGCGTGATCATGTATATGTCCCGTCATTATTATATAATCATCGGAGTTTGAATTCCTTCCCACAACCCCTCACCTCACCGGCGGCTCTAGCTGTAAACATTGAAGGAGAAAGTGTCCCAAAACCTCATTTTCACCTGAACTGCTACTTCAGAATCGTGATAGCGATCTGTTTCCCTCCAATTCAGTATCTTGGCCTCTTCCACGTGCCGGACCATCAAAGTTTGGCATAAATACCTGATACATTTCAAACAGTTCAACTTCTTTCCTGTGGTGCTGTGCTTTGGGGAACCTGGGGTAACCGTAGAACCGGTGGTACAGATGTATCTTGTATTCTTGTATTTCCCTGAGTGACCGGTGTTGTCGTTGAGTCCCAGCAAAAGCATTTCTAAAAGGAGGATCAGCACATGAAGGTAGATGCTGCTATGCATCACACAGACTTTGAGCTTGTGGTGAATCAATAGCTCTAGGATAACCTGTCAGGGACCGGAAAAGGAGGAATAATTGCTTACCAGTGCGCTGCCTCTTGGGGGCAAGGCAGCATGCCCAGAAGATAACAGTGTGGTCATGCAGCCCATTGACGCCAAGTGAAAGCAGCATTTATAATACCTGTACTTACTGTACACTTCACTACAAGCAATTGTTTACATGACTAGAGTACAAACACACCACAGTGTTCTGAAAAAGAGTATAGCTCACTATATATTAATTATATTTTAAAAATGTCCATACTAACACTCCTTGTCAAGAATGCGGTGGCAGTCACACCGGACACACTCAAGCATTAAGGGGTCGACACATGAGGATCCTACAGTGGCGGCAAAAAATAATGAGTTTTGGTTTTTTTCAATCATTGGACACAATGGAGAGGTCAAACATCCAAACTCCAAGTGTAAAAGTTGTAGTCTAGTATGTCTAGAGTACGCACAAAAAAGTCTGGGTCGATCGGCACAGTCACAGCCGAGCTATGATATCATTACATCAAATTACACGATCACGAGCTCCACACTTGACCAGAAACCACGACACAACACACTCTCCTGCAACTTCTACTGCTTCCAATCACCTGAAACTGCATATACCCCCTCGCCTACATCCCCTATGACTGTCTGCACACTCACAAAGCGAGCTCGCATCCTCCGCATGAAGGAGAAGGAGAACTTGCCATTTAAAGATATTGGTGTAGAATTGGGGTTTCAACGGAAACGGCGCGCCGCAACTACCACCAGGTAGTCAAATCAGGGGACCCGTACCACT